CTACAAATCTATGGGCAGCAAAACATGCACATAAATAGAACAAAATCATATTCTGGCGCTAACATACCGGCCCCTAATTGTACTTCTACAGCAGTACAATTACACTAATGAATAACAAACGAGCGCCTGTACATTCGCACTCTTAAACATCCTAATAAACACAATTACTTAGAAATATATCAATACCATACTGTAAAGATTTCAAAGAACATCTTTCAAAGTTCAACCTAACCCTTTCAATAGTCTAATACACACATATTTCCTTGTAGATTACATCGTTCAAGCAGTAAACAATCAACACCCGTTCCTGCTACTGTACTGATTAATACTTATTAACATAGCAATACATGATAGAATCATGTTCAACATCAATGAGAAATACGTAATAAAACGACAAAATCATGTTATTTTAATATCGAAATTATGAGATTAAGTACTTTAATTACTAACAAGTTTAATTAACTCAGTAAACAACTTTTATACGTACACCTATTATTCAACTGACCTTCAAAACAGTAGTGTGTTGTTTATCCATGTATATTATTGAAGTCATATCTTTTACTTGTAATAGATCGATACTTGTAATTTATGAATCTGAATTTATGAATCTGAATTATTAGCATTATCACACTCAACCAATAGACATAGTTTAGTGACAGGACGAATCAATGATGAATTCTCAGTCCTCACTTTAACAGACCTAACGAACCCTTTATGATCATTATAAACTTCTGTTACACGACCAAGCATCCACATATTTCTTGGACCTTGATTCATCACCAATACAACATCTCCAACGACCAGATTGCGCTTAGGACGTGTCCATTTTTGTCTTTGCTGCAACATCGGAAAGTATTCATTGACCCAACGTCGCCAGAAAACATCGGCAAGATATTGAATTTGTCTCCAGCATCGAGTAGAATAGGTATCATCTCTCGTAAATACTCCTGCTGGAAGAACCGGCTCTGCATTTAAACGTAACAGATGATTTGGCGTCAGCACATCCAAATCGTTGGGACTATTTGGGCTCTCCGTTAGTGGCCTCCCGTTTAGAATTTCTTCAACTTCACAAAAAAGTGTTTGCAGCGACTCATCATTCAACTTGATGTTTTGTTCCTTCATCAACCCATACAAAATCTTTCTTACGCTTCGAATAATCCTTTCCCAAATCCCACCATGATGCGACCCTGTAGGTGGATTGAAATACCAGTTAATTCCTTTCTTCATTAATTTCATTTGCATCTCCTGCTGATTGCATTTATGTAAAGACTCTCTAAGTTCACGTTCGGCTCCTACCAGGTTGGTTCCATTATCTGACCTGATACTACTCACATTCCCTCGTCGTGCAGTAAATCGTTTAATTGCGTTAATACATGAAGCAGTGTCGAGAGTGTGTGCGACTTCTAAGTGAACAGCACGACTAGCCATGCACGTAAACAGCACTCCGTATCTTTTCACAGTAGTTCGGCCACGCTTGACCTCGAACGGCCCGAAGTAGTCCATTCCAGTGTCATGAAACGGAGGGTTCCCCACACGTACCCGCTCTATAGGCAAATCTGCCATCTTCTGTTGACCAACTGATGGCTGGTACCTTCTACAAACCACACACTTTGAGGTGATCTGCTTTATTAAGGATGGTGCACCTACAATCCAATACTGCTGTCGCAGTTTTGCTAATATATGGTTTTTACCTAGGTGTCCATTTGTCTCGTGAATATCTCGAAGTATCAACCTTGATACATGAGAGTTTCTTGGTAATAGAACTTGATGTTTAGACATAACGTCAATGTTTGCTCTTTGGAGTCTACCACCGACACACAATAATTTATTCTTTATGACCGGATCAAGACTCCTAAGCGATGATGATTTCTTATGAAGTGAAGCAATGTCGTTTGGCCAATGCTCTTTCTGAACGAACCTTACCAATGCTTCCTCCGCCCTCCTCATATCTTGAACTGATAGATTTTCATGCTGTTTCTGCCCTTCTGGTAATCTTCCCTTGCGAACAGCAACACGCATTTGCAAGTTTCGCATTCCCACCATGATCCAGGCAATGGACCTTTTTAGCTTGCTCCATGACGAGCAACGCTCAATCGCTCGGCTTAAGGGATCAACGGGTTTAACTTCTGTAACCAGGACGCATTTCAGTTCTGGATCAGTATTCTTCAGGGTAAACTGTCCTATGTCTTTCTCATACCATTCACTCTCGTCCTGCCACAGGAATTTTGGACCTTTAATCCATCTTTCGCTCTCCAGAAACCTCTTCATCGACGTTCCCCTAGAGCAAACATCTGCGGGATTACATGCAGTCCTCACGTGCCCCCATTGACTTGGCGCAGAAGCTTCTCTAATAAGGTCTACACGGTTAGCAACAAATGTATGAAATCTAGCCGTGTCACTTTTAATGTAACTCAACACCGTGGTACTATCCATCCAAAATTGTGACTCAATAACTGGCATCTGAAGCTCTCTTCGCAACATGGCATCTACTCTGACTGCTAAAGCAGCAGCAGTGAGTTCCATTCTGGGAATTGTAGCAATTTTTAACGGAGCAACTCTTGACTTGACAAGAATTAGCCGACAATGAACATCACCATTTTTGTTCAAAAACCTAATGTACGATGCCGTTCCATAACCGAGCTCGCTGGCGTCCGAGAAATGGTGCATCTGTGCAGAGATTTGACTTCCAAATCCATGCGGTTTCAAACACCTGCTTATCCTGAATCTTTCCAGATCACCGACTTCCGATGTCCATTTCGACCACCTCTTCGATTCTTCATCAGGTATCTGTGCATCCCAACCCAGTTTCTTACGACAAAGTTCCTGAAGTATTTGTTTTGCTGGGAGAATTGCAGGCGAGACATAACCTAGGGGATCATATATCGAGCCTAACGTAGATAACACCCTTCTTCTAGTAGTTGGCTTAGTTGACAAATTAATCTTGTATCTGAACTCATCTGATTCAGCCGACCAAAGAACACCCAACGTCCTTTCGGTAGGTAATATCGTCAAGTCAACATCCTTTACATTTTTGGCTCTTTCACAGATGGGAATAGACTCTATCACCTCTCGTTCATTACTCATCCACTTGGTCAATCTAAAGCCATTTTCTTTACAAAGATTCCTTGTGTCCTTCGCACGGAGTATTGCTTCAGCATTTGTTGGTACAGACACCAAATAATCATCGACGTAAAAGTTTCTACATATGGTATCGCAAACTGCCTTTTGGTACCGCCCTTTAGCATTCTCTGCTGCCTTGTGTAAAGCGTAGTTGACACACGATGGAGAAGATACCGCTCCAAAAACGTGGACGGCCATTCTATATTCTTCCAAAGGCTGGTCGACATTGCCATTTGGCCACCATAGAAACCTCAACATATCCCGGTCCTTTTCTGGTACCCGGACCTGATAGAACATGGATTCAATATCTGCTGTCAATGCTACCGGTTCTTCTTGGAATCTGATTAATACCCCAACAAGAGAACTAGTCAGGTCAGGTCCCTGTAACAATTCATCATTAAGTGACTTGCCACCATACCTGGCGCCACAATCAAACACTACACGCAACTTATGTTTCTGTTTATGAAACACTCCGTGATGAGGTATAAACCACATGTTATGGGCTTCACGTCCTTCGTTCTTTTCTACAGGCACTTTCTCAGCATAACCCCTATCGAACATGTCATCCATAAACTTTGTATACTCCTTGTGAAATTCAGGATCTCTCAACTTCCTTAACAGGTGAGCAGCTCTCTTCTCTGCCAAAGGTTTGTTATTAGGCATTTTCACAACCTTGTTCTTCCAAGGCAACGCTACCTCATAGTGACCTTCATTGAAACAAGTAGTCTCCTCAAGCAATTTAATAAATCTTCGGTCTTCTATAGAGCGTTTTCCTGTCGCTGAAGTCCAAATTGTACATTTCTACCAACGCATCTGCCATGACCTTTGAATGAATTCTGTTAACGTGTGCTGTTTCCTTTGAAGCAATAGGGATTCCATGCACGGACCAACCTAATATTGACTTAACGGCATACGGACCTTTTCCGACACTGTTAATCAC